TTAACAACACACATATCAGAATAACTGAGAACAGAAAAGAGTTATAAGATCATTTTTCCTTCACAAGTATTCCAATCACACGGAATCCGTTCTGTGTAATTGGTCATATCAATATGCAGTGCATAGATATGAAAGTAACAACCACCCTAATAAGGGCACGATAATCAAGTGACTGACCAAGTAATAATTTCGTTTCGCTAAAGGACACTTTCGGAATATGAAAGCAGAGTGGAAAACAGGTGTGAAAAGATACTTGAAAAAGCGATGACGGCAGCAATAGATGAAGGACTATAGGGAAACGAAGTGCAGACACTCTAGAAAAGGCCTATTTTTTACACCGAACAAATGCTAACGACAACAATAATAATGGTGATGAAAATAAATAGACTTTAGATAAAGCACAGATGTGATACACATGACTGTGCGACACTGATGTGACAATAATGCACTGATATGGATTGAGAGTGAGAGACGGAAAGAGGCCGAAAGAAAGAAAATAGGCGTGTCCGTAAACAAAACGGAAGGTCACTAGCAAATAAATTCCCCATATAGTCATCATCAGTCTACAATAACAAATTTATTCCTTGTTTATGATTTGTAATCACACTATTAAAGGTGACGAAAACAACAACATCCCATTCAATCATCATTCAATCTGCCCGTTTCACTCTCACCAAAAGCGTTTTTTCCATCATTCATCGTATCATGCCTTTATCAGCTGACTTTGATGGCTGACTAGACGGTTGGTTACCCAGGCGATCCTCTCCTCTGACTAACCTACATACGTACTTACGATGGTGCATTTGCATAGTGAAATCCGCTAAACGTCTATGGAATCAGGTGTTGTTTGAGTCTCTTCAGAAGTACGCGTCCATCACTCCATCGGTTATTGATTTTTTTATTTTGTTTTGATTTTTGATTACAGATTGATTCCACACCTTATTTTTTGATACACGTATGGAATTTTCAGCATGTGGTATCGTTAACCCAAATTTTTCAAGCCGACCAAAGATATCAGGTGTGCGTCGGTAAGGGATCGAACCGCGGACCATTTGCATGGTCGGCGAGCGTCCTAACCACTGCGCCACCGACGCACAGTGGTGATGATGAGTGACATCACTCACATCAGACAGACATTCGAAAGGACAGGGAATGGGCAACAGCGATTTGGACATCGGTCGAAGTGTGAACTGGAATACATCGTTTGAACAGAAAATATAAGCTATGCTTAATCTTGTAACCAAATATAGACGGCTGCAGGAAATCAGGAAAAAATGGAGATGTTCTGTGGGCACTCCATGTCGTATGACGCACCCAAGGGAATAATAAAATCTTTGAGAAAATCAATCTCATTTACTTGATTAGGTAATGAGAGTGGACAGTGTAATCATTGAAGATGACAGTGTAGATAAGAAATGATTGCCCACATTGTATGTAGTCTAGAAGTCTTCCGAGCCGATCTAATGGTCATGCTCTATGTTATTTTTCAGAAATATTAGGTGACTAGGTAATTTGATTACTGGATGTATCTACACTGAGTGTGGTCAACTCTCACTCTCGTAGACTTCTGCTTTGTTTCATAGGTCAATATGCATACATATACCGTAGTCGTATATCAGAAATACTGTTCGAAGGAATCTTTGCAACTATCAATAAACTTACGAAAGTATTCACGGTGTTTTATTTTTCAAAGAGAAGACGGAGAGCATGAATATACACACGACAACAGAATCATTCACTAACTGTGCGTCGGTGGCACAGTAGTTAGGACTCTCGCCGACCATGCAAATTGTCCGCGGTTCGATCCTCTGCCGACGAACACCTAATATCTATGGTCGGCCTGCCGAATTCGGGCTACCGATATCACATGCTGAAAATTCCATACACGTACCAAAAATACGGTGTGAAATCAAGCTGAAATCAAAATAAAGAGGAGAAATCGAAAGTTATCTGATCTCTTCCACATACCTCAACAGCATCGTTTCACTTACAGGTGACAGCATGTGTGAAAATTTTACAGTCAACTGGGATTAGAAAGTCAAAATGTGGCGTTCATTACTTTGAAATCGATCTGTAGAGATCTATAGAACTCGACAGATAAGCAAAAAATAAAGATCCGAATTCTCAACATTGATCTACGCCATGAAATATCACCCGAAGCATTTTCAACAACCAGCTGAGCACTTTCATCATCCTGAAATAAAATTTTATCAGTGATAATGAAGGTTGGATGATTTAGCCAGAAAATGTAAGTGAAGTTACAAACAGCAGTGTCAAGTGGAGTTATGTTGATGAACTCCAATGTTCCAGTATAAACTCATACAGTGAATAATAACATAAATAATAGTAATAATAATATTCTATAGTTTGGTTTGTAAGGGTTAGTTTTGCTTTTACGAGTTGATTACGGGTTGATATCAGTTAGAGAACCATTGAAAACCAGCACCGGAGTACACGAATTGATAGAAGTTAGAATTCACACACTGGCCATTGAATTGGGTCACGGTGAGTCGCTGATTGGTATACGAGCCAGCGTGTCTTATAACTGGAATCTTCTGGGTTCAAACCCATTGTCGTTGGCGCGTACTGCCGATGATTCCTAAATTAGTCTAATGAAACAGCTGTCCAGTACTCCAGTGCTGGTTTTCAATGGTTCTCCAAGTGATATCGATCCGTGATCAACTCGTAAAACATTATTATTATTATTATTATTATTATTATTATTATTATTATTATAGCATGATGCACGTACAATTGACTTTCGCATGAGTAAATTTATTCGACTAAAAGTTAACAGAGTACTGAGAAGGATTCAATTTACTGATTATAATTCCTCTGTTTTTCTTAATTTATGTGTAAATCTTGGGCTCTGTAGCGGTGGTAAGTAATTCCATATAAGTTTATTTATTAGATGTATCACATACAGTCAGTCAGTCAGTGAAACAGTATTAGTATTTACTGGATGACAAAGTTTCGAACAAAATTCACTTATTGCTATTCATAATCATTTCACCAATTATAATCACACGACTTCGAAACTTGAGGTTTATAGTTTTCTTTGTCCTCTCCTATTTGTCGTCGCGATTGGAGTGGTAGTAGAATTTTCCAGATACCCGGCTGGACAGGTGTTGAATCATTCACATCACATGTTTTGATTTGCAGTTGATTCGATAAACAAAGCTTCCATTGTTATCAATCTCTCCCTCCCTACACCCTGTTATATTAGATTTTGAAACTGTCATCTTATCATATCCCATCGAGCCTATTGTATGGTTGTGTGTAACTGCATGTAGTGAGTGGTAAAGCTGAACTATTCTCCAGATTTCTTGTCTTCCTCGGGTCAACTAATCAAGATTTTGCTAGGATTGTACGCTCAGCTAGTCTGAAATGAAACTTTGGACGAAAGTGCCACTTGAGGATATAATACTGAGAATGCAGCTATGCTTAGCTTCCATAGTATTTAAATTCCTAGAGAAAATATACAAACAAACTCAGGGAGTTGTCATGAGGTCACCAATATCCCCGGTTGTGTCCAGATATATTCATGGATAGATAGGAGAAGTTAGCCATTGAAACGTTCACCCCCACTCATCTCAAAAGTATGGTGGAGGTATGCAGATGAAACATTCACTGTACTTACCAACACAAGATATATAGATAGATTTTTCGAACACATCAACTCAAAGGTGGGGGCAATTCAATTGACTTATGAATTGGAAAATCAGGAAGGTGAACTTCCAATGATAGATTGCAGCGTAAAAAGGAAAGAAGATGGGAAGTTAAACAACAGTGTGTGTTTAGAGGAAACCCAGACATTCGAACAGATATTTGGACTTCCGATCAGCCCACCTATCCTATGTCAGTAAAAATAGGATTGGTGAAATCTTTACGTGACACAGCACAAAAACTAAGTAGTTAGTACCAAAGAAAGTCTATGACAGGAAATGAAGCATATAAGAGAAGCTTTGATACCTAATAATTGCCCTAATAAATTAAACAGAAAGTATGTAGCGAAATGTGCAAATAGAATAAATAATCATATTAGTGATAGTGATAATAATAAAAATAGTAATATTATTTGATGACACGCATGTCAGACATGTGCAAGACCACAGCAACAATAAGGAATCTAAATCATCAGTAGTAATTCTATACAAAGAAGGAACCTCGGAAAGTTCGGAGACGGAGAATTCTTACAAAGGGAGGAATAAAAGCGGCTGGAATTCAAACCAACCACAAACTCAATTAGAAACAAGCTTTGTCGGTTAAAGGGTCAATCCTGTGGAGCCTTTGAAACAAAACAATTTAGTTTATCTAGTCCCCTCTTTGCAAAGATTGTCAGGTCAAATACATAGGTCCTATTAGCAGAACAGAGGCTGTCAGTCAGACTAGCCAAACATAAAACCTAGCGAAATCTAGATTGGTTGACCCACATAAGATAAGAAATCTGGAGAATAGTTCAGCTTTACCACTCACTACATGCAGTTACACACAACCATACAATAGGCTCGATGGGATATGATAAGATGACAGTTTCAAAATCTAATATAACAGGGTGTAGGGAGGGAGAGATTGATAACAATGGAAGCTTTGTTTATCGAATCAACTGCAAATCAAAACATGTGATGTGAATGATTCAACACCTGTCCAGCCGGGTATCTGGAAAATTCTACTACCACTCCAATCGCGACGACAAATAGGAGAGGACAAAGAAAACTATAAACCTCAAGTTTCGAAGTCGTGTGATTATAATTGGTGAAATGATTATGAATAGCAATAAGTGAATTTTGTTCGAAACTTTGTCATCCAGTAAATACTAATACTGTTTCACTGACTGACTGACTGTATGTGATACATCTAATAAATAACCTTGTATGGCACGTACTGATTTTCCCTTTCTGCTATTGGTTTATTTTAAAGTAAATATTTATATGCATTTGATTATATGATGATGTTGAGATTAAATACCTTTATATCATTCGTCTAACAACAATTACACAGGAAATTTACTTATTACAGTAAGTAAAATAAAAAATTCATTTCATATTTTTCAAAATAACTCACTGCCTAAATAGAATGTTAACTTTTTAAAGCAATTGATAATACCATTCAAATTATTTGAAGTGAAGTTTAGTGTGTGCTGAATTCTTAGCATTACTGATCATTAGAATCTTCACTGGTGCCTGACTATCTATCATTTGCCCTTTATCAACTTGTTATGTCGGCTGAAGTTCAAATCCAAAGTTACATGAACTACTGATTAATTAATATATTTTAACGAAATTTTTCGATAAAATCCTGTTAAACATTGAAATATTCAGAGACTATCTTCTACTGACAATGGAATAAGGATTGATTTCCTTGGTGTCAGATATCCCCTGTATTTATCATGTTCATCAGTAGTGAAGTGGCTAATGCGTGACTAATTTACACATAGCTGCTAACTTGTGAAAGCTTGCCAGTACTTTGACGCTTGACAACAACTCATAGTGGATATGAATTCTCAGGAGATAAATTTTGCTGAAACACCAAAAAATATACTTTTCCAGTGTCAATTGCTTAAACAAAATTATTCATATATACAAAATTTACGATGTCTATCGTCAAGTGTAATCGGTGTCATCGTTGGCTATCTGTTGCCTGTATGCAGTATACCCTGTATCCTGACTAACTTATTCATCGCTATTACTGTGATGTTCAAATGGAGAACAGCGGCACGCCAGTTGATTTATATTTCTGGAATTTGCCTATCCAGTGCTACAGCTGATGTCTTTTTCATATGGTTATGGCAATACCCCGCCTATGGTTTACCGTATACAACAAACGGGGCAAAATTTTTCACCTTTTTGAACGTTTCCCCAACAGCTTGTCGTTTCCATCGTTTTGTGTATTCATCGAGTGCAACACTCATGTGTAATATGCGTATCTGCTCTTCCCTAGATAGATGTTTAGCTATTTATGTACCAATAAAATTGAAAAAATTTCATCATAAATATGCTTGGTTTGTTTACGGCGCTACAGCTTGTTTCAGTGCCCTGTTAATGCTACCGTTAGCAACAGAAATGGATTGGATTCCATCGAAATATGGCGTACAATGTTGGTTTCGAAACGCTAACACTCACCCCAACGCGAACAACAGCACTAACATCTATCTACAACTTCATCATGCCTTTTTATCAAATTTAGGACCAGTTCAAACTATTCTCCTTATAATTATCGACTTAGCCTTTGTGGTGAAATTTCGTCGACATCTTAATAAGCATAAAAGGCACAACACTACCACAACAGATACAAAAAAAGAAACCAAAACGTTTAATCGTTATCGTCTGCTGTTTATCTCAGCTGTGTCTTACACCCTATTGGCTACAGTCCAGTGTATATTCCTGGCGCTGGCTCGTTTGAGCAGTGTTGAAATCATCAGTTTTGAAACTACCCTAGCCTACAATATGTCCGATATACTATGGTATTTAAATATTCTCAGGGAGGTTTTAGACTTTGTGATTTATCAGAAATGCTTTCGAATATTTAATATTATTGTCGTGAAAGTGTCTGTTATTTGTTGCCGGCCTACACTGAGCACTCGGTCAGGTAATCTTTTCACTAGAACTGAAATGACTACGGAGTAAACTGTTTTATAACACTGTTATTGATTATATATTCTAATGTGAAATTTGTGTAGAGAAATTCGTTTATTAATGGTGTGTTTAATTTGATTTGATTCGATATGGTATGATAGATACATTTCTTGTCTTTATTTTTGTTTTAGATATTTTCTATTTATTTACGATTATATTTCTAGGGTTGAAAGATGTGTGTTCTGTTCAATCGATTACTACATGATTTTGCTATATGATTTTGTATTCTGTTTAGTGAACTCTGTTCATTTTAAACACGATTGACTTTGAGATAAATACTGAGGATCAATTAGAATTGTATTCTAATAAAATAATATTGATTTTTAGAGACAAATGCATTTTCAAGCAGTGGTTTTGTAGGGATTTTATTCGATGATTGGATGGAGGATTTCATCATGAGCACTGACATCAGTTATAGGAGCAGTATTGGAAAACCAGCCACACAGGGAGTACTGGACAGCTATTTCGAACCCCTATGGTGTGTGCGTAGGGCTGAAGAGTCCCAAACTAGGCTGATGAAACAACACCTGTCCAATAATCCCAGTCGGTTCACCGTCATTTTCTAACTCATGTCAGTTCATAATGCAATCCTCCATTCAAGTAAAAATTTATGTTGATTGAAAATCAGCTGAAGAATTAATTGAAGATGAATTAGGCATCGTTTGTGATACTTCGATTGATCCCGACAAATTTATCAAGAAACACGTGACAAAGAAAGTGGCGGAAAAGGACTACTCCCTATCCATCCGTAAACAAGAAGCCTCTTTGTATACGACTGCAATTCAAGGGAGATCGATATACGAGTGAGTTAATTACGAAGAAATCAAGAAAATCATTTGAAAGAACTTTTAATGCTGGAGGCGAACATTACGCCGATGGTGCTACCTCAATTGGAAGATGAATTACCTAGACTAGACTAGCTAGCCACTTAAAACTGCATCTTCCAATCAAACTGCACTTGTGGTGGAGCGAGTTATCTTGACCTTTGTTCTAGGAGCTTGTATGTTGGTGGGAGAGTGGTTAGGACTCTCGCGAACCACGCACATGGTCCGAGGTTCGATCACCTGACGATGCACACCTGATTTATATGGTCACCCTACAAAATTTAGACTACCTATATCACATGCCAAAAATTCCATACTTGTACCAAAAAATACTGTGTGGAATCAAGCTGTAATTAAAAATGAAGATTAAAAATTGATTTTTCATGGTCTCTCGAGAATATCTCCCAGTATGATTAAGTAAATGTGTAGTGAAAACCATTAACAAATAGTTCGATATTGGACCATCTGGTGCAAAACGGCCGACCACAAAGCCAGCGCGGAATAATCCTTCTCTATCATCATCTACCGGGTATCTGATAAATTTCCAAAATTATCATCGAAGCACTGAATGCTCCAAACAGTAGAGGCTATTGCAATTCGCCTCAAACAACCAGTGCTCTGTGTTCAAAAGAAGCAAGTCCAGCTAGCCAACCAGTACTACTGCCCTGTCTGGCTTTCAGTAGAGACTAGAAATTAATGAATTCGTATTATTATCTTTCCTAATTCAACTGATATTCAGTGTGTATTGTTATGTTGATGCTAGTGAACTGTAAGCCACTGATATTATTATTATTATTACTGATTCGATGTTATTTAAACAGCAACATTCATGTTGTTCGTAGCACTAATTCATTCAGTCATTCATTCATTCGCTATAGTGAATGTATATATAACTGTAGAGCCTGATGATGATGAAGGGGTTATCGAAAAGAGTATTTATTCTTTGTTCAGTATACATTCTTTTGAAAATTTTAGTAGGCATTTTTACTCAATTAAATTAGTGCTAAACAGATTGTCTAAAGGGACAGGCAAAGACTTAGTTAGCATTTACTTCTATGTACTTTGAAAAAGTCTAACACAAATCCTTTAAGGAAGTGAACAAATCCTCTAATCACCTGGCTGGCTACCTTCGCATTGCCTACAATTATAGAATTTCCGCATTATCACTGTATTATATATTGTTCCCTTGGGTTAGTGGCCTAAGGTCTCCACTTGCTTCTGTCTTCTGGTGTACTGTTCACTTGCATCCATTTTAGTCCATACTGTTTCAACTCCTCCAACTGACACGATCTATCTCCACTTTCCCCTGCATATTTGTTGGTTGGCGATTGGTTCTTGTTTTGTTTGTTCCCATAGTTTCTTGTTTATGCTGATTCTTTCCGGCACGGTCATTTGATCATCAGTATAAAGCGAAGACAGTTGTTGATAAAGGTAACGTCTGCAACAGGCTGTTGGAAATATTCTTAGTGACCCACCAGCCAAATTTCTGATCTGTATAGAAGAACTGACTGCCTTGACGCTTGTATTGAAAATCCAACCGAATTTCGTTGTTGATGCTGGCTGAGTGACGAAGATTTCCAGATTGGTTTCAGGTTGATGAATGAATGTGTTTCTCGACCGCTTTCCCGATTCTCGCTCGATTTGACATCCTCGTCCGTTCCGACTTCCTGCAGTTGAGACTATGCTTCCTAGATAAGAAACTGAATGAAGTAACCTCTTTGAAATCCCTGTCGTTGATGGTGAATGGAGCTGAATATTTCTGCTGCTGTTGTTGTTGGTTGGTTGGTTATTTTCATATCGTCCGTCTTTTCTATGTTCACCTGGAGTCCTGTCTTCGCTGACTGCTTCTTCGACCAGTTTGTCGGTTTTCGCTTGCCTCCAAGTCTTCGATTTTGTGTGACATCAAACATAAATCATCCACGCACAAATCCAGGTCTTCTAGTTTCTTTACTTCGGTCCAGGATATTCCTGTCTTCTCGTTTCCCACAGTCTGACACATAATCCAGTCAGTCCACCACAATTAGGAATATCATCGTGGGTGATAATTAGCACCCTTGTCTGACTCCTGTGTTTACTCCAAACGCCTGGCTGAGTTTTCCGTTGTGGATTACTTGACATGTGCCGTTGTCGTACAGCTGTTGAATAAGGTTGGTGAATATTTGGGGTACACTGTAGTACTCGAGTAGTCTCCAAACTACTTCGCGGTCAACACTGTCGAAGGCCTTCTCAGAGTCCGTAAAGTTGAGGTAGAGGTTTGATTGCCATTCTATGCTCTGTTCGATGATGATGCGTAGAGTTGCAATTTGATCAAACATGATTTGCCTGATTTTTCTGAATCCACCTTGTTCTGGTCGGAGCTCTGTATGCCGTGCGCCCTTAATTCTCCCCAGGATGATGTGACTCAGGATCTTACTTGACGTCGACAGGAGCATGATTCCTCGCCAGTTCTTGCAGAGTGAGGCCTAAGTCGCCCTTCTTTGGTAGTTTCACGAGGTAACCTTTCTTCCAGTCAGTAGGCACCTTTCCCTCCTTCCAGACCTTTTGGAATAATGGAGTCAGCATATTTTCTGTCGTCTCTGAGTCAGGAGGTATTCCATCTGGTTCAGCTGCTTTTCCAGCTTTCAGAAGTTTGATTGCATTCAAGACTTCAACTTTCGTTGGAGGGTTAGTGTCAACTTTCATTTGTGTACGTGCTGTTGTTGGTATTTCTGGATGGGTTGCAGGTGGTGGTCGGTTCAAGAGTCCTTGAAGTGATCCGCCCATGGTTTAATCTGTCTTTCTTCCTTGTTGACTGGGTTCCCTTGGCTGTCTTTTATACGTTTCACTTGTGTTGATCTCTTCCCGAATAGAGACTTGGTCATCTGATATAATGTCCTCAGGTCCCTTTTGCCTGCTGCCTTCTCAGCTTCAGTGGCCGGTTTGTCGTAGAATCGTCTTTTGTCCTTTCTAGCATTCTTCTTCACTTCTTTGTCCAGTGCTGTGTGAGTCCAACTCAGCGTCCGTCTTTGCATTGAATCATTTTCTCTTTCACCATTCTCCTCTCTTCTATTAGTTTCCAAGTGTCCATTGAGAGCCATTCCTTGTCTTGTCTCTTCTTTCTTCCTAGAACCGTTGAACACGTTTCGTTGAGAATCGCCTTCAGAGACTTCCAATGTTCTTCCACGCATGATTCTTCAGTGATGTCGCGTAGTGTTTCCTGCTTTGCTCTGACAGTTGCAGTGAAGGTGTCTTTTGTGGTTGTGTCCTTCAGTAATTGAGTGTTGAACTTGCATTGTGGCCTATCCCCAGCTATCCTCGAGGCTTTTAGCTCCACCTTGAAAGTCCCTTCTACTAGATAGTGGTCTGAACCCACATCTGCTCCTCTCCTCGACCTTGCGTCCAGTAGACTCCGTCTCCACTTTCTTGAAATTGAGATGGAGTCTATTTGGTTCTTGGTGTTTCCATCTGGTGAAATCCATGTCGTCTTGTGTATATCCTTGTGTTTGAACACACTTCCACCAATCACCAAATCATTGAAGGCGCAGAAGTCTGAGAAGAGTTCACCATTGTCGTTCATTTCACCGAGGGCCTCTCGACCCATGGTGAGTTCTCTTCCTGTGTTGTCTCATCCCAGCTTCGCATTCATGTCGCCCATCAGGATTTTGATATCGCCATTTGGGACGTTGTCCACTACTGTTTGTAGTTGTCTGTAGAACGCCTCCTTCTTCTCTTGTTCTGAGACGTTTGTAGGCGCATAGCATTGAATGACTGTAACTTTCCTTCCTTTTGAGTTGAACCGGGCTGTCATTATTCTGAAGGAGATTGGTTCCCACTACATGAGAGCTTTGGTTGCTGTTAGTGACATCATGATGGCCACTCCCTCGGTGTGCTCGTGGTTGTCCTCTGGGTGACCGGAATAGATTATTGTCTCTCCCGTTGGTAGTTGGCACCTGCCACATTCGTTCCATCTGCTCTCACAGATTCCCGACACTTCTGTTCTATACCTTCTGCAACTACCTGGGCAGCTTTCCCAGCTGGCTTTGTACCTTGTGCCAACATTCTACGTCCCCATCCTTATTTTCGCTTTCATCGAAAGAAGGCATATCGGTTGACTGGCTTCCCGAAGGCTTTCACCAGCCTGCGTCATTTCGATTCGCCGATTCCAGCGAAAAATAAGGTTACTGTTTTTATTTTTATAATTTTTAATATATTTGTGCTTTGGAGTTTTTGTAGCGATTTGATTAAGTTTTGGGGATGGAGATGCTTGCACCACGCCCCAACCTCCCTCTTTATCCCGGCTAGAAAACTAGCGAGCTAGTAATCTAGGTGAGGTTAATGTTGTTCATAGCACTAATTCATTCATTCATTCATTCATTCGCTATAGTGAATGTATATATAACTGTAGAGCCTGATGATGATGAAGGGGTTATCGAAAAGAGTATTTATTCTTTGTTCAGTATACATTCTTTTG